GTTGCGCACACACCTTGTATTGTTTGTACACAAGAAACTTGTCTATCAACCCTTGGTGCCTATTATGTCTGTTTTGATGATATTTGTCATTTTTTTCATCTTTATTTTAAGCTGACAGTCACATTTTTAAAGATTGTGGTATCAAATTTGGTGAGAATTCTTATTTTTCTTCATATTAAAAAAAACAAAAAAAAAAAGTGTCACCTGTAGTATCTGTTGCCACATTTTAGCTCCACCTTACATCAAATTTTTAAGTGATTATTTTTTTAATGATCAGGGCTGAAATTGTTTAAGAGATCTGAGTCGAAAAAGGTTTAAAAAAGATTATTTTATGAACAATTGTCTGCATGTCGGTTTTAGGGTCAAAGTAGGCTGGATGGAGCTTTAAATGAACAGGAACGGAGGGTTAGGGGTAAATTATGTTTACCGAAGGAAGGAGATGTGGAATCAGCAGGATAATGTATCATGAACTGCTGGTTTTGCAGACGACACCGTTGCAACGTGGTCCAAAAACTAGACAACGATGTGACAATATCAGCTCCAGAAATATAACAATATAAAATCTACTTGTTCCGTGAGACCAGCAGCTTTACTTTATGCTGCGTTCCAGTTACCTCGGAGGTCGGGTGTTCCAGATGAGTTTACGACTCGGAGCTCGTAAATCCGAACTTCCAAGTACAACTGAAATGCAGCGTTATTCCACACAGAGAAACAAAATGAATATCAATAACATCTTATCAATCGCGTCACCTGATAGGAAACAATTCAAAATATGCAGTGGTGTTATGGAGGAGCTGGTTGGTGGTTTAATGCAGGAATTTAACGGTCGAAGGAGAAGTCAGTGCTGTCAGATGTGCAGAAAGTATCTGAGCAGGTGTAGTTTCAAGGTTTTTGGGGTGAGCAGGTTCAGTTCTCTGTCAGGTGGAGAACAGGGTGGAAACCGTCGATCTCCACCACACTGGAGAGCAGATAAATGTCTATCTGCTGTCATAGTTTCTGATGTAAACCAGATACATTCTCCAGATCTTCCTCTATCTCAGGCAGAAGCTCTCCACTCGTGTTTTATCATTTTCTCACATGCAAACAGCTCATCTATCAGACCTGCTCCTCTCCACCTAAAACCTCGGGTCATGTTGGCACATTCACCTCGCTCCTCATGTGAGCAGAGCCAGCTAGAACCAGCTCTGATTGGTCAGAGGGAGAAGGTGGGGGGCGTGGCCTGTGGCATTGACTTTGCACCATCTCAGACGGGGGTCAGGGGTTCAAAGGTGAAGGGAGGAGGCGGGTTCAGACACTTCAAAGAAACAGAGCCGGTCCTCACGCTTCCTGCAGAGTCCGCTCTGATCGGTCAAACGTTCAGGCTTGTTTATGTTTGTGTGTGTGTGTGTGTGGGGGGGTCGGAAGTCCACAAGAAGCGGAGCTGGAGAGCCGCTCCAGAACAACTGGAGTTTCTCCTTTTGAGTTTTATCACACGGACAAAAGCTCCAGAGTGAGTCATCCGTTAGAGAAAAGGGCTGAGGAGGAGACGGACTGTCATGATAAGAAGATTCGACTTCCTGAATGTGGAGAAACAAAAGTCCCCGCAGAGATCTGAGCCGAGGCCAGACCGGATTTATTTAGATCAGAAAAACCCAACAAGATAATCCGTCTTTTTAGTCAAGATTTAGTCAGAGAGAAGGTTTCATTCTAGTCTCACTTAAAGCTCCTGTCAGGAACTTTCTGTTTGTGTCAATTATGGCGCCCCCTGTCTTTGTTTTTCTTCATTGAAATACAATCAGACTGAGACGCTAAGACAGAAGAACTATGATTAATATGATGATTATTACTTCAAAGAAATTATAAAGAAACGATCATAAATGTTCTTCCTTGATCTGCGGCACCCAGCTGTAGTCCGTAATGGACTGGCCTGAGGTCTCACTACAAACAAGCAGCTGCTGGAGGAGAGTAGGTGAGTTGTGTTTAGTCTCTTTGCTAAAGAAATGAGTCAAAGTTAAAAAGATGTTTGGTGTCTAGTACTATGTCTGTGACCCTATATGTCCTGTTGATGAAGTTAGGTGCTGTTCTGAGCATTATTTGTGGCTATAGAGTGGCGTTTTGGTTGGGGGCGTGGCTCTCTGTATTTCTATCGTGCGGTCGTTACTAAAGTTGGTTTAACTAGAGAAGGAAGCGGTCGACAACATTCATCTCTGGAGGGGGGGTCTAACTCAATTCTCAATTCTGTCACTGATGTTTTTTTGCTTTATCACATAAAAAAAACACAAACATCAAAAACTCCTTACAGTAGCTTTAAGGCACTGTCAGGGGGAGGGGTCAGAGCAGATGATTGACAGCAGGCTAAAGAAAACGCGTTATTTACTTTTAGTTCTTAAATGAGGTTGAAACTGTTCACCGTTTAAAGACAACAGGATGAGTTTTCAGTCAGAACATCTGACTTTGACATGAAAAATACAAGACATAAGAGGTTTGTCCACAGGGGGGCGCCAAAATCAACATAAACCTAAAGTTTCTTAGTGGAGCTTTGAAGCCAGTTTAAATTTTTTTCTAATTTTTATTTTGATATTTTAGTCAAAACTTCCTCGGACAGTTTTTTGATTGTTTGTAAAAATTTTGGTTTTTGAATTTTGTCTGAAATTAGATTTAAAAAGTGAAAAAAGTCACTTTTTAAAAACTGAGATTTCTTTTTTTAGAAGATGATCTCTGTTCATGTTTGCTGAATGACTCTGATTTATGACAAAAAAAACATAAATCAGATTTCAGGAGGAGGAGGTTGACGTTTTACTGTAACGTGGTTCGACTCTGTTAAAGTTAATGTAGCGCGGTACGCTGATCGCTCACAGCTGTTACGTCGAATAAGAACAAATCAGTACCTGACGTTCAAAGAAATCTGAGTTTATTGAACATTAAATTTAAAGACTTATCCAGTGTTTGTGTCAGCTGATCATCACGCTTTAATAGCAGAAATGACATTTTTTTTGGTGTTTATATATTTTTTGTCATTTAGACCCTCAAATATCCACTACAATTATCACTTTAGTTAAACCTCTTGTTAAAAACATCATTTTATCACTTCTGCATTTATTTATTTCTTTTTATTTTGCTAAAACAGACAAATAGACAAAAAACACAACAAAGACCAGCTGATATCATACTAAAATTATGTTTGTGGAAATATACAGGGATTAAAAAACCCTCTAGACGAAAGAAATAATGATAAAAATTGTAATTCTGTTGTTTAATAATCGACTGTGATGCATCTTATGAACTCATTATTACCCAGAGCAGAGCTGTTTGTAAGTTCGGGTCAGTAGTTCTGATTTTCACGGTGTGTTTTCATGCAAAAGCTGCAGTGTGTGACGCCTGAAGTGTCGAGTTCCTGTGTGAGTCAGGACGCTTTGAGGCAGGCTGCACCTCATTAGGAGGCCCAATAGATGGTGCTATATTGTGAGACTTTTGTGTGAATGAGCGGCGTCACACAGTCCACCGCTGCTCAGACTTACACATCTGAAAACAGCTCCAGATGATCAGGAAAATATGAATAATTTTGGTACATAAAATAATAAATAGCGGTGGAAAAGTAAAGCGCTGCAGCATAATTTATGAGAGTCTAATTTACGGTTCAAACTCCCATCTTTGGAGAGTGTCTGTTTGCATATTCACTGGTCTCTGGAGTGTGTGTGTGTGTGAGTGTGAGAGTGAGACACACACACACACTCTCCTGCAGAGGCAGACACAGAGAGGGCTGAGAATGAGAGAAAGAGAGGTTTTAAACAGGCATCAGAGAAACTTTTGTGCTTGAGAACGTACGAGGGCCGCTCTGAATGTGATCTTCAGAGGAAACGGTGAAAGAAAAGGCAGAAAGAGAGAGAGAGAGAGAGAGAGAGAACGCAGGAAGAGGCTGCACCTGCAGAGGAGGTCTTCAGCTCTCAAGCCACCCGCTGTGCAAAGAGAGAGAGAAGGAGAGAGGGAGAGAGAGGCAGCTGCACGGAGAGAGAGGAGGAGAGAGAGAGAGAGAGAGAGAGAGAGAGAGAGCGCAAAGCCAAAGAAGTCAGAGATGGGAGAGAAAAGGGAGAAAAGCAAGAGTGCAGCATCTTCTTCTCCTCCTAAAAGGCCCCCTGCTGCGACTCCCGTTTGCTCTCCCATGTAGCGCATAAAAAAACGGGCGCCGAAAAAAAAGAATCAGCAGAGCTCGGCTGGTGTTTGAAATCATATGTAAATAAGGCACATTGATAATAAAGCGCCAGAGGAGGAAATTCCACTAATTACCTTACAGAGACTTGACAAGGAGCAGGAGGCGAACGCACTTGAAGCTCTGTTTGGCATGAAAAGGCCAGAGAAGGGAGAGGAAAAGATCTGATGGCAAGACGACAGGTTTCCATTTCAAGTCGACGCAAGTCTTTCATTTCGCTTTTGACTCCCGGCAATCGTGGCTTTTCTGCGATAAAGTCAGTTTTGTTAAATTGGAGAAATGCAAAAGGCTGAAAAGGAATCAGGGTGATTCAACGTGTGCGACTGTGTTTGACTCCGTGTGAGAGAGGAGATGGGTGAATTGTGCCTGTCGGAGGGGGTCGATTTGGAAAAACAAAGAGTGAAAGGTCTGAGTGGAGCACTCTGACGGCTTTATCCCAGGACTCCATAAAAAAAGTCTTTTGGAGGATAAAAATGTCACTTTCGGCACAATTAGCTCATTTAAATAGATCTTTATTTTTTGGAGGCGTAATTCTAGAAAGTTTGAAGTCTTGTGAATGTTGAACAGATTTGATGGTTTGGGAATCATATATTAAATAAAAAACAGTGAAAAGACAAATTCAGTTTTTAAATATTACTTTATATGTTTTAAAAAAGTTTGGACATCTTCTCCATCCTGTTACATCTTTTTATTTTTTTAACACTTAATGTTTTCCCGTCTGATACAGGAGTTTTTGTACTTCGTTGCACTTTTTTTGGTTTCATGATGCACCAGATGTTTTCACAGTTCAGCAGCAGGACTCTTCTACTTCAGACCCACGCTGCTGTAATCCTGCAGGACCTGGTTTGGTCTCCTCTTATACTGCTAAAAAGTCTGGATGGTCCAGATCCTGTGTAAAGTATTTTTCAGGCGATAAGGCGCACCAGATTGTCCCGCGCACTGGCGCATTGATAGGTTTATTGTTGCTAGCCCACACTCGCCTTACATGAATGCACCTCTAGTTGAGACGTTACACTCAGGCAGTCCTGTAGACTCCTCAGGGGTCCTGTTACGGGGCCGATTACAGCGAGCCGTAATGCTCTGAATGTCCATTGAGCAGAGCGGCTTCGTTGCTCACCAAAGTTACACTTACACATTTCAACAGATTTTTTAGCGCATTGTACGACATAAAATCAGTCAGTAAACACAATAAGTACCATATTTTTCGCACTTTAAGACGCACCATCAATGAACGCGTCTATTTGCGTCTATTTTCATACATAGGGCACACCCGATCATAAAGTGCATGAAGCCAAACAAAACAGTCAGATAAGTCGAAGTTTATCTAACTCATTCAATAACTCTGCGAGGCTACAGTAGCTGCAGCGCTCCGACAAGCCAAAAGGATTTTAAGTGCGCCTTATAGTGCGAAAAATACGGTAATCATACATAAAGCGCGCTCAATTATAAAGCGCAATGTCAATTTTTGAGAAAATTTAAGGATTTTAGTTGCGCCTTATAGTCCGAGAAATACGGTATTCTTCTCAAGTGTGTGAGTGACTCATGCTTTGGACATTTGAGAGTCCCTGAACCATAACAGGTTTTAATCTGGAGCGCTGAGGACAAACTGGGTCCTCAAAGGGGTCTCCAAGAGTATGACATGAATCACGTCTTTTCACCTGCGCTTGTAGATATTGATGAGTCGTATCACAGACTTTAGTTTTTAAGGTCATGTGGTGATTTCCACCACAGAGTCACGTCTGTTTTTGAAGCTGTCCCACCTTCATGTTCCCTTCATGCAGAGACTTCTCCAGATTTATCCCTCAATCTTTTACTGATATCATGAACTAAACGTGAAAAATTTCAATAATCCTTTGATAAATTTTCTAAAATTGTTAAACTGTTAATTCACAAGATCTCCAACAAAGTACCAACTCTTCACTTCTGAGAGACTCAGCCCTCCTGAAAAGCTCTTTATCTATATTCTTTCATCTTACCAACTTGTTGAAGAACATTTTTCAGTTTCAACATTTAGCATCTTGTCCTTGCAGAATTTTCAGTCAAATGTAGAGTTTTTTAAATTGGGGTTTTATTCCTCAGTCTCCCCAAAGCAGAGAAAAAAGGAGCGAACAGACCAGAGGAGAAAAAACCCAGTTGTGTTGATGAGGAGGTGTAGGAGGAGTCTATAAACAACCTCCTCTCCTCTGCTTCTCTTGTGCGTTCCTCACAGGCCTCACTGAATCCAGTCTATAAGTGTGTATAAAACCCGAGTGTGTGTTTGTTCACTTTGAATAAATAGGTCGTGTTCAGATGACTCTGTTTAAACGAGCCTCTTGTGCTTCAGGAACATGGAAATTAATTAGCAGAGGGATGCTGGCGCAGCAGTTATTCCAGGTGCTTTCTGCTCTGACGTCCAAGGACGTTAGCGCCGTCTGTGATGGATGGAGGGATCAGAGGAGGGAAAACAGTCATGTGACCTCTGTCAGAGCGGCGGCAGATAACAAACAGAGACGGTGGCAGAAGTTTAAAGTCTCTCACTGACGCTTTAAAGTCTGTGTTTTTAATTTTAGTAGGTGTAACAGCCGACTGAAGGAGTATTTATAGAAACAGCGAGTCCGCGTTGATCCAGACGGGTCAGATTTCTGTGAGGTGAGTCAGGTGAGTCAGAGGAAGTCCTGTGTTTATTCAGGACTTCTGCAGAAATGAAGAGCTGGTTTACAGTTAGACCTCTGTTGATTCATCCTTTTAAAGTTTATGTAACTACTGCGCTTCAGTTATTCTTTTATGTTTATTTATCACATTTAAAAACCACCCTCTCTTTTCTCTTTCATGCAGCTGAGCGAACAGCAGATTGTTGCTTTCTTGTTTGTATGCAAGGAAAATAAAAAACACCTCAATTTACGATCTTAGTGACGATTCATCTGCAGAACAAATACTCTGAAGTGCTGCACGTCGGCACAAGAAGGTTCCTGGTTCAAATCCTCAGATTGCATGTTTGGTTCCGCTGCTGTTAGATGGACTGGTGCCCGACTTCGCCCAGTCAGAGAAGGTTCTCAGGCCGCTCTCGTACTTTCTTTTATTTCCTGTTTTCACCACAGTGTCAACAGGCGGATTTTGTTAAAGAAGCTGTTTTTGCAATCAGACCGAGACACTAAGACAGAAGAACTACCGCGTCTGCAGAGCAAAATGATTAATATGATGATTATTACTTCTAGGAAATGATAAAGAAATGATCATAAATGTTCTTCCTTGAGCTGCGAAACTCCTCTGTAGTCTGTAATAGACTGGCCCGAGGTCTCACTACAAATAATAAGATTCGACTTCCTGGATGTGGAGAAACAAAAGTCCCCGCAGAGACCTGAGCCGAGGCCAGACCGGATTTATTTAGATCAGAAATCTGTTTTTTTTTTTAAGTTTACCTGCCCAACAAGATAATCTGTCCTTTTAGTCAAGATTTAGTCACAGAGAAGGTTTCTTTCTAGTCTCACTTAAAGCTCCTGTCAGGAACTTTCTGTTTGTGTCAATTATGGCGCCCCCTGTCTTCGTTTCTTTTTTGTCCCCTCCATACTTAAACAGTATCTACCCTCTTACATCCATTTCAGGCTTTAAAAATTATCATCTTAAAGGGATATTCTGGCATAAATTTAATTTAGGGTCAAACACACCGTAACACCGAGTTAGACCCCCCCTCCAGAGATGAATGTTGTCGACCGCTTACTTCTCTAGTTATACCAACTTTAGTAACGACCGCAGGATAGAAATACAGAGAGCCACGCCCCCAACCAAAACGCCACTCTATTGCCACAAATAATGCTCAGAACAGCACCTAACTTCATCTACAGGACATATAGGGTCCCATCCCAGCCAGCCACTAGACACCAAAAATCTCACCCAGAGTCGTCCATCGACTACAGCGGGGTGCCGCAGCTCAAGGAAGAACATTTATGATCATTTCTTCATGGAAATACAATCAGACCGAGACGCTAAGACAGAAGAAGTACCACGTCTGTAAAATGATTAATATGAAGATTATTACTTCAAGGAAATGATAAAGAAATGATCATAAATGTTCTTCCTTGAGCCGCGGCACCCCGGGCTGGAGGTCTCTGTACAAACAAGCGTCTGCTGGAAGAGAGTAAGTGAGTTCTGTTTAGTCTCTTTGCTAAAGAAATGAATCAAAGTTAAAAAGATGTTTGGTGTCTAGTACTATGGCTGTGACCCTATATGTCCTGTTGATGAAGTTAGGTGCTGTTCTGAGCATTATTTGTGGCTATAGAGTGGCGTTTTGGTTGGGGGCGTGGCTCTCTGTATTTCTATCCTGCGGTCGTTACTAAAGTTGGTATAACTAGAGAAGTAAGCGGTCGGCAACATTCATCTCTCGACAGGGTGTCTAACTCGGTGTTACGTGTGTTTGACCCTCATATAATTTTACACCGGAATGTCCCTTTAATGTGTTTGAGCGTCACCTTAAATGACTCTTCCTCTTCCCTCTTCGCCTCATTTAAACCTCACCCGTCTGTGTTTTCCTCTCCTAGCTGTGCGGCGGCGCGAGAGACGCCGAGCTTCGAGACTCTGTCGGCGGAGATGGAGTCTTTGAAGAGACACCTCTCTCGGATCGACTCGCCCACCGTCCTCTGCCACAACGACCTCCTGACCAAAAACATCATCTACAACCACAAAGAGGGTGAGCAACAGCCGCGCACGTCACCGACGTTTCAGTCGCTGTGGCGGAGAGCGAAACAAAAGCAGCTAAATTCTCCAAACAGATCAAACTGATGTTTCTGAAATACTGCAGCTCATAGAGTCTTGGTAGCTCTTTCCTTTCTTTCACAAACACCTCTGCACGGCTGAAACATTAAAATAATCTTACCTCATTTGCAGGATCCTGTAATCATGTTTTCACTCCCATATTTCACAAGGATGCTCGGGTGACTCAGTCAAAAGAGACTCCTTGTTCCTTTGACTCCTACAAGGTCCTGCACTCTCAAGAATAAAAAAAGAGAGTTTTCAGTTTTCTGCTCTAACCCCCGTACCTGGAAGTGTTTGTCATGTTGTCGTGGTAACCGCTGCAGCTTCTCCTCCTCCTCCTCCTCCATCAGGAACGGTGAAATTCATTGACTACGAGTACGCCGATTACAACTACCAGGCCTTCGATATTGGCAATCACTTCAATGAATTTGCCGGTAGGTGTGTGTTATGATGAAAATAACCTCAATTTGCCTTCAAATTTTCTTTTTTTTTTTTTTGTGGGATATTGAGAGAAGAAGAAGAAGAGGGAGAAGTTGCCCATTCAGGGTGTGATGTGCAGAAACATCCTCCGGTTTGTGTCACCTCTCTCTCCGGCGATGATATCATTTATCTTCGCCGTCCTCCTCCTCCTCCTCCTGATGCCGCCCGTGTAAATTGCTGTATTTTCTGCGCGGTGATAAATGTGTTTGATGGAGCAGCTGCGTCCGAGTGAAGCCGGACCGGGTTAATGTGACCATTTGTGGAACAATCATCAATTTAAGCGTATATCTGCAGCTTTCACGTCAACCACACAACCCCATCAACGCCGATGTGACTGCAATCATGTCGGAAATTTGTGCGTAATGCAAACGTCTCCTGACCCTGACATCGCCATGATGTCAAATGATTTCTCACAAACAGGCATAGTTTGAAATTTTCTGCTAATGAAGACAAAATGCAGTAAAAATACTCTCAAAAAATTAAAACTGGAGCGACTTTCCTGTCTCACATTTTTGCGCGTTAGGGTTTTTCATCAGGAGGTGAAGTTATTTCTATAAAATGTCAACAGCTCTACTCTCTGGGAGTGTGGAAATGAATCTATAGTATGTAAAGGTTGAGGAGGTGTTGGGGTCAAGTCCAGCATTCTTAAAGCATGAAAACCCTCAGAGAGAAATCAACTTAAAGTGCAAAATTTAAAGTCTTTTACAGCAAAAAACATCTTAAATTTCTGCACAAACTATGTAGTTTGTTTTATAACATGAGAGTCAACTGTGTTTGTTGAATCAAAGTCATAAAGGATGTTTTTATTTTTACCTTTTAGAAGTCAGAAGGAAAAGTCGTCTTAAAAGTATCTGAACGTTAAAAGGATTTCTCAACTTAAACTTTATTTTTAGAGCAAATTAAAAACATTCGGGGTCGAGCTGTACAGATTAAAGTTCAACTACAATAAATCAAATGAATACTTCGGTACATAAACGTAAAACACAACGGAATAAAATAAAATGGTTTGTAGTAGTTTTGGCGCCCCCTGTGGACAAAGCAGTCCCCTACATATAATGATTGGAATATTATTAGAGGACTTTGTAAAATCAGCCTTTCCCCTTTTAACTTTGGTTTTAAGGTATTGAAATAATGATATTAAAATCATCCATCCTGTCACTGATGGTCTTGTTTGTTTTTTTTGTGTTCCATAAAAAGGCATAAAAAAAATCCTTAGAGGAGCTTTAAGTTCACAATGTTAAACTACTCTAACAGGTGTCAAGTAAATGTAATTTAATGAACTTTATGAACTTGAATTTTACATTTTAAGTCAAATTTTTCTAAAGATAACACTGTCAAAAAAAGTAAATATTCAAAAAAAAATTTAAAATAATAATAAAAATATTACGTCCAGTTATTAGTGATAGATCATTTTGATTAATCACTGACATTCAGCACTTTGTGGTTAATTTTATTTTATTTAACCTTTATTTAACCAGGCGAGTCCCGTTGGGTCAAAGATCTCTTTTTCAAAGGGGGGCCTGGTCAAGAACGGCAGCAAAGCAGTTTCAAAACCAAAAAACAACAAACACACTCAGACTCACACAACAGCAGCGGCACACAGACGGGTTTCTTTGAAGAGTTTTCAGCAAAGATTTAAAAACACTCAGAGAAACTCGACTCTGTCATTTAAACTCCATCTGCAGGTTATTTTACACAAAAGGAGCAGAAAAACCTAAAGGTTCAGTTCAGACTCTGGGAACAGCAAACTGCACAAAGTCAAATGAACACAAGTTATGAGAAGTTCATGCAGAAGCACCTGGACTCTTCAGGAGTTCCTCTTTGGTTCCTTCTTTCTGTGGTCGATTATCTGCACCTGAATGCCTCGCTCAGCGTAAAAGTGCATGTTCGTCATTTTAAATAATTGAAGCAGGAAGACGTTGCAGCAGTTTAACTACGGTGAGCCAAAAGGGACAAAAAAGATCGCAGTTATAAAAAAAAGACATAACAGAAAATGTCAAAATGTCCAAACTGTTTGTCAGTTTTGTCAGTTGAAATTCAGTTAAAAATATTCTTACTTAGATTAGGATTAAGACTAATTTAAGGGGGTGCATTAGAAACAGGATAGGATGCATGTCTTAACATCTTAATTTAGTTGTTAATCCATTTTTGAGTCACTAAAATACGTCGTCTCCTTTTCTGCACCAAATGAATCCCACTAAAGTTTAAAATCAGGTGACGTTTCTCCATTTTATCTGTAATGCTTCCATTTTTTTCTGCTCGTGCGTCCAGATAGAGACATTTGAAACAGTGGTGTGTGTACTTTGACAGTTTGTTCCTGATTGACAAGTGGTGACAGAGGAGTCGAGCTGATGTAAAGCAGCTGTGCTCGGCTCTTAAATGAATTTTCATACTGACAGTAGATCCACTGACACGTGCGTTTGTGTGTATGTTTCATGCCGGAGGTGTGAACGACGTGAACTACAGCCTGTACCCGAGCCGGGAGCTGCAGAGAGACTGGCTGACGGCGTATCTGGAGAGTTACAAGCAGAGCTCAGGACGTGAGGTCACTGTTACAGAGGCAGAAGTTACACAGCTCTACGTTCAAGTCTGCAAATTCTCACTGGTGAGTGCGCGCTCCCTCCGACTGCGCTGAAATCTGTCATTACGAAGTGCCTCGGCGCTTTGGAAAGACTTTGCAAAGTGACGAATCTCTCAACAGTGATTTCCTTTTTTAAAGTTCTGCTCTTGGAGGGACTCAAACCTCTTTATATTATGAGATTAGTGTGTGCATTTCAACAATATCCATATGTGCGCAGATCCCTGAAATGACAGGGCGGCTACACCCCGCCATCACATTTTAACAATTTACTTTTCCAGAAAGAGAGAGAGAGAGAGAGAGAGACAGGCAGAGCGCCTCCACAGCTGACCCACCAAACTTTGATGGACTCCATCTGAGTTGATTAGAAGCTGCCGCAGGGAAAAATGAAAGACAGCAGCCAAAATTATTTTTCTTATGACCACAATTTTCATTCTTTGGTGGCTCGAGCGGAGCCGGGCTATCACTCTCAAAGTGCTCTCATAGCTCCACACAATACGCAGAATTGTGTGACCAATTTTGGGCTGGTGTGAATGTCTCTTGAAATAGCCCAGAAATGATGAGGAAGCATATTACTTTTTAAAATAACTCTCGCCCCGGCCAAAAAACAGACAGGGGGGAAGCGAGAGGAGGGAAAAGAAATAAAGCCTGGAATGGAGGGAGAGAGGCGATAACATCATGTTGATTGAGATCAGATTTTCTCTGACAAACCGAGGGACGACTCTCCACTCGAGGAGAGAGGGGGAGAAATTGATCACCGACGCTTAACAAGCCAAGTTTCCAGCACGACTCGTTCTGACGGGCGGCGCGTCAAAACCGGGGAGACCGAGGCTGTTAATTGAGAAAATAACAGGGTCTATTTTTCTTCATTTCAGAGAACAGAGCCGGGATTTTTCTTTCTCTTTTCTTTTCAGTTTTCTTTAAAACCCTAATAGAAATGTTTTGTCTGCTGAAAATCATGTGTATGTGCAGCACTTAAGTTAATCAACGGTTTCCCTCCGAGCTCCTTACCCTGATTTTTTTTTTTTCTCCTGAGGAGTAAAAAGATCCAGTGGAAGAAAAAAAAAAACCCCAACGTCTAACATCTGTTTTTGGTCTGATAATGGAACATTTAAAAAATAATCGTAAAGATGGTAAAATAATAAATTTAAGCAAAATAAAGAGAGAAACGTTCTCGATCCAGCAGCTGGAATATGATATTCTCTCTTTTTTTTTCTATATTTGAAATTGTAAGGTTTTTAAAGAAGACTAGCAGCTTCACTTCAGTCCATAAATGTAAAAAAATAAAGAAAAAATATTAAGAACTGGAATTTATTTTTAATATTTTATAGACAATCAATTCATAAAGTCAAAAAATTTTATATGCACTGAGAAAATGAGTCTGTAAAAGGATTGATATTTCAGATCACAGCTTTAAAAACTGATTTTAAGTCCAAAATAAAATAAAAATATGACTTTATTTTTTGTTTTTAAATCATTTATTCAAAATAATAATAATAAAAATAATTAAAAAGCGTTTTTTTTACTAGTGTTTTAATTTAAGAATCACACGGTGCAATAAAACTGACTTTTCTTTTATTTAAATAAATGTGAATAAATAATAAAAGACCCTGACATACAGCTAATAAGTGCTCATTCTGTGACATCCAGTCTGTTATTATTTATAATGAAAACTAACACTGATAAGATATTAAGAAGAGTATCACACACTGACATCCAGTCAGTCCTGGTTAATGAAACAGTTTTTGCACTTTTCCAAAAGTTCCAGTTTTTCGTTGTTTCTCCGTCTCTCAGGTGTCTCAGAGTCCAAAATAGTTCCTGCTGGTTTTTGTGATCTTGTTCTCACAGATCCACGAAGCATTTGCACTTTTCAGGAGTTCCACTTTCCTCCGTGTTTCTGATCCAGTCAGAGGAATTGGAGGTGAGAAGTGTGTCGATGTAATTTCAGTTTTTTTAATTTTCCCCCCGCACAGACTTCACTCCGTCTCTGAATCTGTTTCCCTCACACATCTGGTGAACCTGGATCTACGGTAGCGGCTTTAGCGTAATTGTCTCTGGAACGTTTCCAAATCTGAGAAATAATGAACACTTCAGCGTGAGGCCTTTTTCGACTGTCGTGGATTTAGTTTTATTCCCTCTCAGATGAATGGGATTAACTGCGTTTGTCTCGTGTTTCACTGTCATGTCTTTTGTGACTGCCTGCAATAATCAAACTGTATTGAATTCACGCTGTGGTCGAGTCTGAGTCGATGAGGCTGCAGATGAATAGTTCAATAAAATCAGGAACTAGAGGAACCAGGAGCGCTGTATGTCGGCGCTGTGTGCCATCCGCAAAGTCTGGACGGGTGCCAAAGCAGAGCGGCGTGGAGCTGCCTCCTCCACATCCTAATCTCTGGCACGCCGTGCCAAGTCACAGTGGGGTCTTTACCACTCACCCTCTCCTCAGCAGGGACCCCCACCCCCACCAACCCACCCACCCACCCCGTCATGTAGAGGCTGAAGCCCACGGCTCTGTGATGTCACCCCCCACATGTCTCTCATCGGGGTTTTTCTCAATGGCTCCCTGTCACCGCCGGTCTCTGCTTAGTGTTCGACTAATGCTGTCTTAATGGAGAGCAGTTATTAATCATAATGGGAACACGCTCCATCTCTCCCTCCAACTAAAGACAGAGATTAGAGATGAAAATCTGCCAGGGAGGAGAGGGAGAGCCAAGGGAAAAACCGCACATCGCTCTTCAAGTATTTCATTCCGCCCTTTATTTGATTATCAAATAAAAATGTGATTATATCACTGGGCCGCAGAACAGAGGCCTGTCTGGATCTTATTAGGACTCGCTATTAGTGGTCCTACCATGAAGATTTACAATAAGGGTGGAGAACAACAGAAATTTATGGAGGCATGGAAGTCCGCAAGCCTAAGTGAGCAAAGCCATTAAGGAGGGAACCATTCAATACGGAGGTTTGTCATCCTGACTGAGCAGCAGCAGCAGCAGCAGCAGCAGCAGCAGTTCTGGGAGCAGCTCGAACACGACAACTGGAGGTCACTCAGCTGTGTTTTTACAGTTCTGCTCCACGGCACGGGAAAGACGAGCTCAACATCTCAGAGAAATAAAACACAAAGACACTGAAGACACACAACAACAACAACACCGATACAAGAACGCAATCTGAACACTCCTGTCAGTGCTCTTGGAGGATCGTGGACAAGATAAATGTTATTTATGGGTTTGTTATTCAGTAACAGCGCTCCGTTCAGTCTGTGTCTGAACGTCCCTGAGCTGAACAGCTGACCCTGCCGTGACCTCCTCCCTGCAGGGAGGGAAGAACAAATGTTTTCAGCTTTAACAGGGTCATGAAATAACATCGGAGGAGCGTGTCAGTCAAGTCCCCGCTGCCTTTCCCCTTCAGTTATTGACAAGTACTGGAATTAGTGTGCACGCTAATATTACACTGATAATATATGATCGCTGTTCCATAACTCTACAATTAAGACGTGTTGAAATGTTAGAATAAATGTGAACCTCACTCAGGAAGTTCAGTACAAAAAACACCAACATGGAGACGAGAGAGTTGGTTTGAGTTTTGAGAAAGTTCCTGATCTCAGACCGCCCTGCATGGACTTGGCTAACTGTTCTTGGTCCATACAGGGATGGTGCCAATTAATCACTTTAACGTAGGTCTCAGTCTTACTGTAAAAAGGAGGTTACACAAGCTTCACTCTGGGCTAATGTTTGTTTGTGGTGAGTCTCAGTTTTACTGTAAATAGTAAGTTAAACAGGCTTCACTCTGACCTACTTAGGCTATTAAAGTGAGTCTCAGTTTCACTATAAATACTAATTTAGACAAAAGCTTCACTCAGCTTTATTGCACATCTCTTTAAGGTGAGTCTCAGTTTAACTGTAAAAAGTTAAACACAGGCTTCACTTTAAACCTTATGTTTGTGGTAAGTCTCAGTTTAACTGTAAATAGTAAGTTTAACAGGCTTCACTCTGGCCTAATGTTTGTTTGTGGTGAGTCTCAGTTTAACTGTAAATAGTAAGTTAAACAGGCCTCACTCTGGCCTTCTTAGGCTATGCAGGCGAGTCTCAGTTACACTGTGAAGAATAAATGATAGCATGGTTTTACTCTGACCTAATATTTGTTTGTGGTAAGTCTCAGTTTTACTGTAAATAGCAATTTAGGCAAAAGCTTCACTGAACTTTATTGCACATCTGTTTGAAGTGAGTCTCAGTTTCACTGTAAAGAAGAAGTTACAGAAAGGTTTTACTCTATATCTTCTGTTAGTTTGTGGTAAGTCTCAGTTTTACTGTAAAAAGTTAAACGGGGGCTTCACTCTGACCTAATTAGGCTTTTAAGGTGAGTCTCAGTGTCACTGTAAATACTAATTTAGACAAAGACCTTACTCGACTTTATTGCACATCTCTTTGAGGCGGGTCTCAGTTTTACTGTGAAGAAGTTACAGCTCAGGTTTCACTCTGAACTTTCTGTTTGTTTGTGGTAAGTCTCAGTTTTACTGTTAATATTAGAAGAAACAAAAATAAACAAATTTATTGGATCATCTGCTGGTTTGTTGATTCAACATCATCATGATAAAAGTTTCTAAAAAGTGACAATAACTTCTGTGTCAGGTCAGTTCTGAAAAGAAGAAGACGGCTCGATTAAATCTTGTTTACTGAATATTTTATTATGTAACTCACCATCGAGAGGATCTGTCGTCAAAGTTGAATCTTTTGATCCAGAAAATACTGAAATACAGATCTGTGTACACAGAATTTAACATTGATTACAGCGGGGTGTACCTCAGGGCAGCTGTTCGGGGCCTTTAATGTTCTTCATTTTAGCCAAAATCATTCTGTATGCAGATGATACAACGCTTTATTTACCAGCAGCATCACCTGTTGTTTTAGTTACCAGCACATGAATGTTGTCAGTTATTGTATTCTTCTATTCCTGGTCGTGTTTTATTGTGTTACAGTTTGATGTCTTTTTTTCGTGATGATCCAGAAATAGTAGTCATGTTGAAAACTCTGTGGCGTAGCTTGGACTGCTCCGTGATCTGCTTCGAGGTCTGGAAACAAATGGTCCATCCCTTTAATGTTTATTTTCTCTTCTCACCCAGGCTTCCAACTTCTTCTGGGGTCTTTGGGCGATCCTGCAATCACGTTTCTCCTCGATTGACTTTGACTTCCAAAGGTTTGTATATCTGACAGAGACGGCTCAAAGGTCCTGAAAAGAGAAAAAAAACTTCTCCATGTGGTTACCTCGTGTCTGGGTGTCACTTTCTATAAACATCGTCTCCGTTTTCTCTGAGTCTGACATTTCGAACATTGTTTCCTCCACAACTGAGAAATATGAACATTCAAATGAACACCCTGTTGACATAAAACCCCACCTTTACATGAGCACCACCTCAGAAAGCTGATTAATGTTGAAAAACACGTAACCACAAAGACCTGAGACCACCTTACAGCATTCATCTCTGAAATAGTGAGGCAGTGGCCATTTCATTTTTATTCCTAAATTAGGACAGACAGGATCACAATGAAGACTTATATTTGAAGAATTATGTGTTGAAATATTTCTCTTCTTTCTGCCGGTTCTTCAGGACCAGGAGTTCACAGATTTCGGCGTAAAACAGACATGAGAAGTTACGCCTTAAAGAACTTTTGTCTGAGTTTTAACAAACTACATTCACACCAATTTTATGTACGGTTTACCGGGTATAAGGGCCACATTAAAGATAATTTTTTTGACGATTTGGTGGAAAAAAGTCGTCATGTTAGAAGAAAAACAAGTCCTAAGATTTTAAGATTAAATTTGTAGTAATTTCATAATATTACGAGAATAAAGTCATTATGTTTTGAGAATAAAATTGTGATAAAGTTGCAGCTTGAGTTCACGATGAGCAGCTGCTTGTACCAAAATGAGGAATGTAAAGCTTCATGTTTAAGTGTCTCTAATGTTTTGTCCACACTGAGTATCAGGACCCTGAAAAGACTGAGCAGAACAGAACATGAGATTATTCATGAACTAGATTAACGACTTTGTTTTTGTAGCATAATGACTTTACCCTCGACAAAATCAACTAAATACTTGTAAGCGAACGATTGAACTAGGACTTTATTCTTGTGAGAATATTTTGTATTTGTAAGGAAATGATTTTACACCAACTTTCTTGTTAGTGAATAATTTTGACGAGTTTATCCTTAAAATAATTTTACTACGACTTTATTCTTTTAGCAAATTCACCAGGACTTTATTCACTGAAAAAAAAAAACAATATTCCTTAAACTTTATTCATGTTAAAAAAAAACTATTTTGTTACGACTGAAAATTACAAAGTAAATCTTAAAAGTTTATTTAATTATCTCATATTATATGTCCCGAATAACCCGTGGTAACGTCTTGTTTCCCCTGTTTAAGTTAACTTGTCAAAGTTTTTACCTGCTACTTTAGACTCTGTATATGAAGTTCTCTGACTGAGCTCTAGTAAAACCTTTTCGTAGAATTAAAGGTAAATTTCGTGTGTTTTTGGGAGGATCATGATCCACGCAGGACGAGTTATCTTTAAACAGGTCCAGGAGGAGACATTCCTCACTTCCAGCAGCCAGACAATAAAGTTCAGGAGGGTGAAATGTTTCCCCGCTCCCCCTCTCTCTCTCTTCCTTCGTTCGCCCCACACCCGCCACAGTTGTGATCGTGATCCTAATCACTATTGACATTCGGCACCCTCCCCTCTGTGTGGCTTTCTCTGCACGCTTGCTAGATCAGCGACAGGGCCCCCGCCTCATTTCGATCCGGACCCCGGAGGAAATGTGATCCAGAGGGGTGCCGAGGCACAGAGGCACTATTGTTTCGTGCCGTCGGTCCTCCCTTACATATACGTCTCTCATCCCTGGCTGGGCCACATGCGCCTGTTAGACGTCTGCTCCTCTAAGCCGCCGGCTGAGGTTGTCCTAAAGTGCACGATGAGGGTCGGGTTACCTTTCTTCTGAGTGGAGGGCTGAGCTGAAATGAGCTCAGAAAACAACAGTTACGACGAGGAAACCGGGTCAAAGCGCCACGATTAAAAACACACACAGACTAATCACATCTGCCGTCACCGTCATCAGAAATGATCCGCGGCGCTGTAAAGAAACAGACAATACAGATGGCAACGGTCAAGTTTGTCCTCGCTTTCATCCTTTCATTTAAATACATTAACAGGAAGCACACACCAGTCAGAACATCATCTTTGGAAACTGTCCTTGTGGTTTATTTAAAGAGCATAAAGCAGCGCGCCTCATTTAAATTCAACCAGAGCAGTAAGTAATGTTACGCTCTCTCTTCTCCTGTGAAAGGTCTCTCAGAGGAGGTTTAATTGGATGCATAAAGGGCAGGTCACACCACGGTTCATAACCACAAACTGATACTCCCCCGGTCTGTTTTCAGTAAAAACGGAGTTCAGTGCAGTTAAAAAACAGCTAGCTAACATTTTTATATCCATGACAGTCATCTTAACATTCGTTTTAAACCGTTCGACCTTTCAAAGAGTTCACCACCTACTGGTTTTCTCTTTCAGATTTCAGATTTTTGTTGGAAAGTGAAACTAACTGGCACCAAAAATCATGAATTACCCAATAAAATCAGCCGATGTGGGTCTTGACATGAGTTTGTGAACCTGTTTGGAAATATTCCAATCGAGCCAGACGTTCGAAACATCGAGAGGTTGGTCCAAACCGCGAGGGTCTAGGACGTGACCCCGAGAGAAAGTCTTATTCATGGTGGGTACAAACCAGGTTTTTAAAGCCTGTTAGAAAAGAGAAATAGGTTTTTGGATTAAGATCCTCACCGGGACCGTTTTTTTCGTGCGATTATTTCGGACGGCAATATTTTTTTTGAACCCGTATCCTGTCAATACAAGCGTTCACATCAGCAACGTTTTCCCGTCCTGCGATATTGCGGCATTTATTTTTTCCTTCACAGTCGATTTTTCTAAAGTTTCTCATACTGTGTGTCCACTTCTGACCAATCAGATTTCATGTTGTTGGGACGTCAGATTCACCGGTATATCCAACGTGGCCGACCGGCTGATTGTTGTTGATGGTTTGTGAGCTTTAACAGTTTGATAAACGTCTTTGTTTTAACTTTCATCTGTACTAACATAAGTTAACGGTTGTTACCATAGTTTCATGTGCTTATCTTATCTGATTGGCTATAAGTGCTGACCGTTTGGCTGGAGCGTGTGATGACGTTTCCAGCTTTTCTAGCCAATCAGAGTCGAAGGAGGCGGGACTTTCCCTGGGAAAAGTCTTCCCCGGGATGCGTCTTTTTTCCCCCCTGAAAGTCACAAAATCGGGCTTGATGCGTGTAGTCAGGCTCATGAAAATTCTCCTCCGAATATTTTGCGTTTTATATTTACGTTAGCTCCGGTGTGTCAGGACCTTTATGGTCTCTCTTCTGTTGTTTTACATTGAAATACTCAGCCTATAAGCTAACATGGCTAATATTGAACACCACTGACAGGCAAATGTAAAATAGATGCCAAATGACACTCGTGTTCAAGTACAAAACATACAACCATGTCTTTGTCCTGAAATGCCACGTGGATGAAAAAAACAACAAGACGAAAATCCAGATTCACGATCTCCGCAGCTACTTTTGGTCTCGCATGTGGACAACGTTGTTCAAATGACATCGTACAAGCTGCACCCTTCACTTCAGATCACATCAGTAACATAATTACACATTTGATTTTTTCTTGAGCATTTTTTTGAGCGATTTTTGCCTTTATTGATATGTGATGCCTGGACCGTGGTCCTCATACATGGGGCACACTAACCTGCTCAGCCCATCCGTGCGCGCCCCAATCGCGTCCTCCTCGCTGGGAATGTCGCTGAATTCTGTCTCAGTCTTGGTCACCAATACTGGCACTGGCGGCACACCGACACGCCTGAAAATTGTTTCTATGATTGTCGGCTGACGATGTGAAGGTCTGGTACCGGGATCTCCACTGGATCCAGAGACGGTAGCACCACGCCCACAGGAGCTGATGCGCTGAGACCGTTAGCTCTTGGCTAATGACTTCGGCATTTTCCGACTCTCCTCACAGAGAAAAAAACTCTCCACAACTCGGCTAGTTGGCGCACTTGATGGCGACACACACTGGCGAATACTTGTTTTTGTAATTGTAACATGGTTATGACGTAATTGTCGGCTTTTCTGCGTTCAGAACGACCCCAAACTTAGTCGCATGTTGGGGAGGAGCGCCCTCTGGAGGAAAACAAAAAAACTGAAAAATCCGTCAAAATCCGTCATTGGCATTGAATGAGATTTTATGGTTCAACTATTTCCAAAGACTTCGTCAGACAAGTCACAAACTACGATGTCAAGAGTACGACTGGCTGCCTTTGCTCCTCGATTCGTATGTGGCGGTTGATGAACTTTTGGTGAAAAACTTTTAATTTTATCGTCTAATGAGCTAATTACTTAGCTAGCTAACATCTTTTCTCAAACAATCTCAGTTACGAAAACTTAAACAACTCGAACTTTTTTTTAGTTTGTCATGAAATCATCTGCAGATTGTGGTTGTTGTTTCCTGATGTTTGATCCCAGCAGGTGACCGACTTTGTGAATTAAACGGCGATGAATATTTTAACCTCAATTAACCGTAATTAACTTTCCAAAACCACGACTTTACTCAGAGTTTTTTTTTTAGCGCTCTGAAGGTCTGAGAAAAAAAATCTGTGAACTTTGAGGTTTTTATGTTAAAAAAAAATGAGATAGGAAGTTGGAGTCAAACCCTGAAGATGTGTGTGTGTGTGTGTGTGTGTGTGTGTTTATGTTTTCCTCCCACTGTTTCCCCCCCGAGCCAAATCCCCGCCGACTTCCCAACGAGTGACAGGCGTCGCCGAGGCCTTGTGCTTTAACCAGAGCCAGATGTAGAAGTGACAATAGGGAGCCACGAGGGGAATGCAGAGCTCCCTCCCTCCCTCCTTCCTCCCTCCCTCCTCCCTCCCTCCCTCCGCTCGGGTTATTTACTTTTCTTTATATGATTTTATTCCTGTGTTGAAAGTGTCTGCGAGTCAGCGGTTTAGAGCTGCGGACGTATTGGCGAGGTGAGCCGCTGTTCGACAAAGACATTATTATGAGGAAATGAAGGAGGAGGAGGAGGAGGAGGACGAGGAGGCCCCACTGTTTGGAGAAGGCTGACTGTTAAATTGAGGGAATTGTGCACAAAAGCACATTGTGAAACCGAATACCTGCTTTGGAGCGACTTCATTTTCTCCTGCTAAAGAGAAAAACGTCTCCGTTTCATCTCTGGTGATGATAAACGTGAAGCAACGCCAGTTTAAGGTGTCCGCCTCGATAAAAATACTGATGAACGGGATCCCCTCTTTTTTTTATATCGGAACACTTAAACATGATTTGACTCTGGGTGGGTGTGGGTTTGACGGGTTATTACGCAAACAGAACAAAATATAAGGACGGCGTTTTATCGATGTTGAAACCCTTAAATAATTTTGATTTAAACCGACCAAACGCAAAATTCAGAGTGGACCTGTGATGACGACAGACGCCACCTTCCCCTACGTTCCCATCATCCTTTGTGCTCTCCTTGCTGCCTCAGATGTACTACAGCACCAGGAATGGTGGCGGAGGACAAGGACACACCGCCGGTTAAAAACTGCGGCTTTTAAAAGTGGCGTGTTGAATCATTTCAGCGTCTCCGTGTTAAGAAATGAGGAAAGGTGACGCACTGTGCAGACGCTGTCAGACTGTCCGGGAAATATGAGTAAGATGAGGAAACCGCCGGGCGAAATGTTGCCAAAGACGAGAAGAAAAAATTCATCCAGGCTAAAACACTCTGATATTCTCACCCTGACTGTGAATAAAATCATTTATGAACGTGGATCACATGTGAAGATGATCTGACAACAACCAAGAGATCCTCCTTCGTACGCAGGAATCAACGTAAATGAGCTTAAACTTCATCTATTCGACACAAACGACGACACATGGCGACGTGTGGCGGCTTGTAAAACTAACGACAGCTCTTTAAACTAATGAATGAAGCACCAGGACACCTTTATTCACAGTTTAAGTCAATCTTAAGAAGTAGATGTAGTTCGTAGATTAAAGTGGCGTTCACACCAGCCTTGATTAGTCCAGTTAAGCTGAACCTTGGTAGGGGTGGTCTCGGACCGCTATCAAGTGAACTCTAGAGCGGTTTACTTCTGGTGTGAACCCCATCTGCACCAATCACAGGAAGCGCGCCTCGAAAAAACATGGAGGTAGGCTCTCATTATTGCCTGTCGTCTTCTGCGATACGACCGTCCGTTTGCAGAGCGTCTCCTGCGACGTGCGTGTATTCATACATTATTTAGTTACCGCAGTCTTCTCAGCCGTTAAAGTCTGCTGATATGCAGTCCAGACCAGCACTGACATAAAAACGAGCAGACGATGCTCCATGATGTTCAGAAAAAGTTGTGAGGGGTTTGTTGTCGACCCGCCCAGATCATTTGAGACGGCCTTTATGAACGCAAACCAGACTTGTTGAGAAATTGAATCACTCAGTGCGTTTACAGTCACAGTTTAATCGGACTAAGCTCATTCTTCGTTTTTTTCGCCAAATCCGACTTCCCTCCTCGTTTACATGCAGCTGAGAAAATCGAATTATTGACATGAACGTGTCCTCCTCCCCAACACTAGGGGGCGATATGGGTCTTTTCAGCAGCGCTGTTTCCGACCCCATTCGGAAGATGGAGCATCGTACAGCGTCGTTTTTGTCCGACATGATGGACGTGCTACTTTTTCTGCAGATGAGACGAACGCTACTCCTCTACTCTGGTGTTTTTGTTCCGGGGTTACGGGGGCGTGGCGCAAGCGCACATGCATTGTCCGATCATACTCCGACTACGCTGGTTACATGGTAGAGAAAATCGAATTCCAATCGCATTATCTGGGTGTCTTAATCGCAGTTCTTCGAGTTCTCAAACTCCGATTATAGTCAGACTAAGGTGTTTAAATGCACTTTTCCGGTCTTAATCGGAGTAAGGCGATAATTCGGCTTCTGAAGTGTCATGGAAAAGCATTGAATGTAAGATCCTCACTTTGGTTGGTATCAGAAAACCGACCTTTTGGTGTGAACACGACCTTAAACTATCTATATGTCTGTTTACGTACAAACACACTGTGTTCGAATTTAGCGATGTTAACAATCGTCCTCGCACAGTCTGACTACAAGATGATCCAGAACACCGAAGAGTTTTGAAGCCTCTGTGACGTCTGAAGATTTGTTCATCATGATTTACGTGACACCTCAGAGCGAAGCTTCGGTGTAATACGCCCTTTTCTCCCGATCTTTTGCAGCGTAGACTTTTTAGAAGCAGAGATCGGAAACATGTCACCTGTCTCTGTCAACAAGTTTCAGGTGTGTTTGAAGTGTCTAAAGGAGGCTGGTGAGTGATGCACAAGAAAGAGAGAAAGGAGTCTTGGAAAAACAGCAGAGAGCCTTTCTGACACAATAATTAGAGAGCGGTTTTGCCCAGAGATACAGGTGGGGAACAGAGTGATGGAGCATAAGTAACTAAAAGGCATGTGTCAGAATTATCTTTTTGTCTCAGCGAGCTGTAAGAGAGAGAGAGAGAGAGAAAGTGATGTGGCATTGAGCGGTTTAGTGAAAGCACTGATTAAAGGACAAACTCCTCTCTGTGCCTCCATTTTCTCTGCTTTTCAAACTTCTCTTAATTTCAAAGGGGATAGTATAATGGCCAAGGGCAACAGCGTACTCAGACATCAGATTTATTGAAGCCTTCGATAATATGGTTTGAACAAATACAAAACCACTTTTCTCACAGTTAAGTTCTGAAATGTGCCGAGGCTTTGACACGGCTCTCAGACTCACTACTTTATTCAGGAGGGATTTTAAAGCTTTATTGTCACGCAGGTTTGCAAAGAAACAAAAACACATTTTGCCCACGTCGAGCCATTAACAAGGGCGTCAGTCTGACCTGTAGCTAACGAAGGGAACTGGAGACACATTATTGTTAATTTCCAACTAATAAGTCTGCAGTTTTCAAACGTAGAGCGCCTTTATTCTCTGACGTTTAAGTGAGGTACAGACTGAACATGTGATCCTCATCATGAGGCGCATTCTTCCACATGATAATAACAAACACTTCCTCTGTGAAAAGACCGTTTAAGAGTCTGATTGAAAGGTCAAAGGTCAAATATTGCAAATAGAAATTCAAGTACTTTAATTACCTGCAGCAGTCGTTGAATACAGACGCAGTATTTGATTGAAAATGTATCCTGCACTGACTTTACATCAGACGTCTTTGATTCACGATTTATGAGGTTAATTTCGCCGACAAATTAGAGAAGATAAAAAATTCTGGTTTCATGGTTAGGCGACGTACTTCGGTTTGAGATTTACTGAGAGTTCGGACACTAACCCCCAATTCCTACTGGATACATTTGTGAGGCGAATTTCGCAGCGGATTACGGACAATGGTAATCGCAAGAACCCGCGTATTCACGTGCAATGGCGCAATAACAAGTTGATTCTAAAAAGACAGACACATAGACATATAAGCAGTAGATTGTGTCCTTCCAGAGGAGGAAATCTACTTCTAGACTTCTAGACTCAGCATCTCCTCATCCATGGTGTCATCGGGGTGAAATGACGTCTAAAAACCTTTCACTTGTTCGTCTCCGCCCGTTTGCATGGTGTGAAATACGATCCACCACAGATTCCACGGGTTAATCTGTGCTGAATTTATCCGACATGCTCCGGCGTCCGGAAAAAATAGAACTCTTGGGATCAGAAGTCGGTGGAAATTGACACGTTAACTTGAATGGTTACGATCAGCTATGATCGGCGGATACGGCCTTTTCGTAGCCGTTCCAGATGCAGTGGAAATTTGGGGTTAGACATGTCAAGAGAACCAAACTAAACAGAAGGAATCAGACCATACGTAGACCCCATAAAGACGCAAAGGGTTCCTTAAAACAGATGCTGCAAGGACCCTCGAGATGGCCCCTGAAGGGTCGCCTGAAATCCCTTATTTCAGAGAGAAAAACTGAGTTTTACCGAGCAGGTAAAAACCCCAAACTTTGGTCCAAAAGAACAAGATCCGACTCTACAAAGAGCAGAGGAGAGTACTTAGACACGGTCCACAAAGGCCGCCTCAAAACAGACCTGAAAAAGACAAAAAAACTCAGCAAACTTAAATTGACAATCGGAGTTAGCTCATCAGCAAGTTAGTCTTTTTTAGGAGCAGAAACTGATCTTGGAGAAACAAAAAAGGTACCTCGACAGAACCCTGAGGGACGCCCTGAACGGAATTTGTTTAAGGGACAGAAATCAGACCTCAAAACGTGGACAGGGTTGTTCCTGGACACAACTCGTAAAGGGCGCCTTGAAACAGACAAATAAGTGAAACGTGTTTAAAACAGACTTAAAGAATCGATGTTCAGGGTACCTTGACACATGATGATAGAGGAGAAAACAGCGCTTAAACAAGACACACACAAGGGTACCTTAAAAAAACTGTGAAGGGAACCTCAAATTGTCCAAATTACTTATTAGAAAAAAGAAACATATAACTTTGATTTTAAGAGGGTTCCCAGACACAGCTCATGGAAGGTTCCTTAAAACAGACCGGATATAATCGTTTTTATGACACAGATCTGAAGGGTTCCTCGAGTGGTCAGACTTACTTCTCAAAAAAGACAGACCTTAGAGTAAACATGAGAGAGAACCTGGACACGGTTTTTCAAGGGTACCTCAAACCAGACGAAGTAAGCGGACACTCAGGAGTTGATAAAGCTAGAAAACGTCCTTTTACTCAGACCAGACCATGTGATGAAGACAGACAACAGATCTTAGGATAGTATCATCTCACTGAAAACCAAGAACCGACCCAGAAGACTGGAACCAAACCTCTAAACAAACATTTGTGAGAAAGTAGAAAACAAAGATCGGAGCTGTAAGAGGAAACGGACGAGGGTTCAGACTGGTCAACCATCGTGGAGGTTTAAGAAACGTGAATCTATCAGGGACGGACTTTTGGTTTAATGAAAGAAAGAAGAATCAAGTTTTACTCTGATTGTCAAAGAGATGGAAAAATAATAAGAACGAAGAAGTTAAATTGTGATTATCTGAGACAAAAGCAGCAGTTTATAGACTTCAAACATTCACTCATCTAACGCGTTTGTTGTCTTCGTCCTTGCAGATATGCCACGGCACGACTCAACTACTACTTTGAGAAGAAGGAGGAGTATTTTGGACTGACGATGATCTAAAAACGGAGGCGATTGAACCCAAACCCTCCGAGCGTTACCCTGCTCTGAGGGTCCAGGGAGAGTTCTCTACGACGTTTTCCTCGTTTGTCACAAACGAAGGCAAAGACTCATAAACCTGCTCCTCCTCATTGTTTGTTTCTTCTTCAGGCTGCAGTGTGAGTTCATATGTTTTGCTATCGCTGTGATTTTTAAAATATTTCTTCCACCACAGTCAAGTACGCCGATAAGCTTATTTGGCGCTCTGAGGTGAAGCTGATGCCAGAATCGCATTAATTGCTCCCACATTTAGCAGAGTCGCATGAAGCCACAAAAACTGAGCCTGATCATAAAAGCCATAAGACGGTTATTTGCATGCTTATTCAGAGCGCACCACAGATCTGATGGAAAACAAGTTTCCATTTCAACTTATTTACTTAAGCATGTCGAGCTTTATTTTAAACCTCTCTCTGTCCTCAGGAAGAAAACCGTAAAGCTGCTTTTTATCTTCTTTACATTGTTATTACCCGATCATGAAAATCAAAGATAGCTGCTGTTTTAGGACTCACATAACTAAATTACTTTTGATGGAGTCTGTCACCATTTTTCCGCACACCAGTGCACAAAGGTTTGTAACCCTGGGATGTACGGGTTCGATTAACTCCCACAAAAAAGGGTTATCCTCTGTGTATGGAGGGAAATTACTGCCAAAACTCCACAAACACACACAAAGCCTGTTTTACTCAAGCCCAACAATTCACAGACAAACTCAGAGCGGTTTTCAAAGACAAAACATCATTCACAAATTAATGCAGTTTGTTTCACTAATCAGGAATGTACCGATCAAATAAATAAACCGTGCTTCACAAACAAAAAACAGGTTTTTTTTTCAAGTTAAAAATAAATAAATAATTGAACTATTGATCTATCATGTGACTTTTGGTGGTAATATTCCACCCTGTGTGGCTCGATCCACACACCTGCACTCAGAGCCACACGCAAATGTACGCGTCTGTTGGCATGGATGTTAACCATTACATCCACCAGGGGGCAGGCCGGGGTCAAAAGTTTCTGACAACAACAAACAAAAAGAAACATGGCGACTGTGGAGGAGCTTGTGATAATGTATATTTTATATTTTGCAAAGACAGAAATGGAGGCAGCGTTGGAGGAGGCGGCGGTCAGTCAGGTCACTAAACGCCTCGCAGTTGGAGGACGAAGAATTCTTTTTTTAGTCGTACTGATGAGAGAAACTGACAAGGATCCTCAAAAGGCCCAACCATTGTCCTTCGTTTATCTCTAGAGTTGCATATCTGGTAGTGACAGCAGCAACACTGCCCCCTAGGGTTTCTGGTGGTACTGCTCGTATCCGTAAACTTCAAGGATACGGACAAAAAGAACGCGAAGGAGAGCTCCGTCCGTATCAGGATCTGTATAAAACATTGAGCATAAATGAGCCGTAATTCGCACTCCACAACAACAGGTGGTGCTGCTGAGTCAATTTAATGCCGTCAGACGTAATCAAGAGGAGACGCCTCATCGGCTGCTGGGGCGTGTGTGCAATACGACCGCCATCTTGGTTAGGTTGGGTCGCTCCGCTCAGTGCTGTCTGTCTTTTAATCAGTCATAACTCACTGAAAACTTTTTCATGCTGTTTTCTTTTTTTTCTTCTTGAAGGGTTTTTCTTTTACTTAAAGAAATGTGTTTTTTGTTTGTTTGTGAAGCCTGGTGTGTTTATTTGATAGTACACTTTTTTTAATTCGTTTATTTGACAGGGACAGTACATCAGGCATCATTGCATCTGATTAAAGAGCAACCAGTGCTGTGTACGCAGGACTTCTAGCCGTGGCTAATTTGCGTTCCTTGTCTCTGGTTAGACAGCAGGAAATACAACACATGATACATGAACCACTAAATAAAAACTAACATTATAGCAGGTGCAGACGGGCAAAAATATGTTTGCATAAAAAAAGAAAGAAAGAAGACAAAACTGTTTCTTCTTATTAGTGAAACAAAATGCAGTAATTTTTGAATGACGTTTTGTTTGTTGAGTTTTGGCAGTAATTTCCCTCCATACTTTTGTTTAACGCTGTTTTACCTTCACTTCACATCTCCTCAAACACAGTCAGGAAGGTTCATTATGTGCTCCTTTGTCCTATAAGATGTCTCTGGAGTAAGTCAATCATAATATAAGTGGATTCATAACTTTGCTGACCACCCCGGAGCAGTTCAAGATCATGTCTGCAGCAGTTTTTTTGTCATCCATGTGACCAAAGATCCACACCAGCGGATGGATTTTGACCGAATGTTCGTCCTGTAAACATCATATGACCGAGCGCACAATGCTCTGTCTGTGACCGAAATGCAATTAGTGATCAATTAGTTTATCTAACAAATAAAATCCTGCAAAGAAATCATGTTGTGATTTATGAGAGGAGCTTCTTGACTCTGCGTGTCCCTGAATCCCCTCGCCTGTCTTTATATAACCCGGCGAGATCTCACATGTTGAACTCTGGTTGGTCTGGTATCTTCTCCTTCTTCTTCTTCTTCTTCTTCTTCTTCTCTGTGTGCGTTAATGTTAATGAAAAGAAAAGTCAGCAGCTCCAGGAGGTAAAGTCAAGAAGTGACTGCAGGAGTGGTACGTTTGCAGGCTTTACTTCACGTTAAAGGTGGATTTTTCTCTTTTATAAATATGAAACATATGAAGTGTTGAACATGAACCCGTCCTCTTAACATAGATCTCTGTTGACTTCTGTTAATACAGCAGCTCTTATAGAAATCCTGCTGCTCAGAGCGTCACACTAAGAAAAAGATGGAGAATAAGATCTGTAAGCTATGAAAATGATCAATTATAAAGTTAAACAAGAAAAAGTAAAAAAGCAGTCTTCGTAGTTTTTGCTCTTTAATTGAAACCAGTAAGATTCCTTGAGAAAAAAACACCTGATTTATGAAACATGTGACTCAATCTCCCTTCTGATTATCTCTATCTGAAGTCTGTGAAATGAACAAAATTAGTCAGAATATTAAAATATATGTTGTGTTCACACTGAGCGCAAATAAAATTATTTACAACACTTGAATTTGCATCTTTCTCACTTATAGATCTCTCAATTTGCAAGTATAGTTTGCTTAATTTGTACCGTTTAACAAGAGCACGTGTTTTAACTCTGACTTTACATATAATTAATTTAAAAGACGCAGGGCTGCATGTCCAAAAAAACGATTTCACAAGTTCTTCTGCTTTTATTATTTTAGCCACAGAGGTGAAATACACCAAACTCTTTTGGCTGCTGTAAAATGTCACAATAATGGTATTATAGTAACATTTATGGTCAACTTAAATAAAAAAAAATAGTCAGTCAGCAACACTTAAAGGCCAACACTTTATAAACTCTAGTAACAAATGAATAAACTGTGTTTTAATGCTCTTATTTTGATAATTTGTCTGGATTTTTCTTAATTTTAATTTATAGAGCTGCGCTTTTATTTTGAAGTTCACAGTTGTAAGACACTGAACTGAAGTAAAACAGTTAAAAAAGAATAAATGTATAATTAGTTTGTAACCTAACGAGGCACAAAGTGTTTTTTTAAACCAGAATAAATCTTAAACATCAGTTTTAAGTGTCTCATCGTCTTTCAGAGGATGCTACAGCTACCTCGCTTGCAGCTGCTGCTTCTTCTTCATCGTCTCTCCTCCTTCATGTGACGTAAAGTGTCACCACTTTGAACCTAAGGTAGCACTGTGAGCTTATTGTTAACATGATATTAGTATTTTATGTTTCCACCAATCAGAATCAAGCGCTTTACTCGGCTGAGTCATGGACAATCATAGAAGTGTGTCTCTAATGAATAAGGTTATATAAGACAATTTTAAAGTGCTCCTTATCCATCATTGTCAATCAGAGTATATCAGAGTTTAGTGCTTTATCCTCGGTATAATTAGAGGTGATTTATGAACTAATAAATATGAAGAGACAGAAACCAACGCTGTAATAATGAAAAGTTTCCTCACTTGTCAAACTTCAGTCTTTAACCCGATGATCAGAGGCTGGAAGATAATAAAAGACTAAAACGCTTCATGAGACTCTCAGGGATCAAAGTCGTCTTTTGTGTTTTATGTGGCCAATCTCACCTGGATCAGAAGGTGTGCATTCAGGTGTTTATTCAGGTAAAGCAGACCTGCAGGGGACTGTCTGTATTTTACAACAATAAAGCGCTGTTCAGATTCTGGACCAAAATCTGGGTCTCTTCTCAAACTCAATAAGTGTGTTTCTTGCCTGCACTTGTGTTTTGATTGTGTTTGACATGATTCACTCTGAGTATCATGAACAAAACTTCACATCCAGGTCTGAGTTACCAGGAGCTTCAGAGAAAAAAAACTGAAACTCAGAGAGTGAATTCAGAGTTAAATCAAAAGTTTATTCTCAACCTCTGGTCAGTCAGAAACTGGGGAAACAATCACACCAACAAGTCCAAACTTTAGTAAAATTCAGAAATGATACACATTCATAGACTTAATACGAGGAGAATAAAAGTTAAATTTGCTCAAGTATTTGTTGTTTTAAGAGGTATACAGAAAGAGCAGCCAGACAAGAGTTAGACTTGGTTCACAAATGATAAAGTCCAATTTTTTTATATTTTTTTGAGACCTGCATCGACACTAATTTCAAACCTCCAAAAATCGCCTAAAAAAATAAAACAATACACCACATTTTGTGACATCTTTGATTAAAGCTCCTGTAAGGAATTTTGGGTTGTTGTTGTATCTGGCGCCCCCTGTGGACAAAGCAGTCATTGCATGTTTTGTTCTCTTCATATAAAAAACAAAATTTCTGACAAAAAATCTCAAACTATTACCTTTGGACAGTCAAATTTATAATTCTTTTGTACATGGAAAATGTGAAAACGCTTTTTTCTGACTCCTCCCCTCTCATGTTGATTTCAGACGTTAAAAATTATGACAAAAAAAACAAAAAACATAGTGTTGTCAGTCTTGTTTGCTTTTGTATATCATGAAATATGGCTGGTTTCTCTTCTCATATCCTCTCATACAACTCTTATCTTCAGTTTTATCATTCTATATATATATATATATATATATATATATATATATATATATATATATATGTATATATTGTTCATGAAAATGTAAAAACACTTTTGTTCTGACCCCTACCCTCTCACGTTGATTTCAGACGTTACAAATTATGACCAAATAAATAAATAAAAAATAAAAATAAAAAAGAATCCATATTGTTGTTGGTCTTTTTTGCTTTTGTATATCATAAAAATGAATTACTGGGAATTCAAAGATGTCTATTTTAAAAATGTCAAAAACTCCTTACAGGAGCTTTAAGTATCTTAAATTTTCAATTTAAATGTTTAGTTTTAGTGTAAAAGACTGATTTCTCTTCTGATTTCCCCTTTCAAAATAAAATGTAGGCTTTTCTTTGGTTTTTTATCCTTTTTAATCTCCAAATGTTGAACTGGTAAAGTCGGGATCACTGGATCTATCAGTTGATCTAAAGTGGAAGTGACCGCCTGGCTCTAAAAGTTCAGATAACAGCCGTGTTGACTCGTTCGTCTCCTACTCGCACCGAAGCAGGAAGAGTTAAACCCGTGCAGAAGTGCAGCTCAGTTTGATCCAACATCTCACAGTTTCTGTTGTTCCCACCCAAGGCTGCGGGGTTTGTCTCGTAAACAAGCCGCTAGCCTGGATCCTTCCGCTCAGTCTACAATGCGTTGGCACATCAGACTGTGCGAAATGGATGGATGCAATGTCAATGAGTCCTTTCCTCTGCATAACTGTGTCTGGCGGTCTTTGTCTCTGAGGAGGGCACAAAAGAGAATGTGATTGTAAAATCAGTAGAAAGGATTATGGCGGGTGAAATGAGAGAG